AGTAGTTTGGTATATAAAAGAGGGTGACAACGTGACGGGATAATGTAATGTGTTTGTGTAGATAGTGAGTATATGAACTGCAGTCACAGGGTATTGTTGAAGTTAACGTTCGTTCGTTATAGTGTTTGTTTTAGCACGAATATTGAAATTAAGTGTATCGTAAAGTTATATTCGGAAAAAATAAACCAGTTTTATTAAGTAAATATTTGTGTCGCTAAAGTTTCGTCGGAACGAAGTTACAGGAAGTTAATTAACAAACGGAGACATAACAATACTCTCACGTCCGTGATATACAGAATCCTACTGAATACGAACCCTCTCCAACATGAAAAAACCGAAGCTACCAGTTACTGGTGCATCTGTTTCTGCTCAGTTTTGTGCTTGGGTTACATAGCATATTAATATCGTCAATGTTAACTGTATGATCATTTTATTATGCCTGGGCACTGTACAAATTTGAAACATATTCGTTTACTAAATATTTTGTCCTGCTTTAAAGATCCAAGTGACTCAAAATAACAACTTTAGCCTATTTTTTAATGCATTAAATGACTAAAGAAATGCAATTTTCTTGCTGAACATAGTTTTTCACATAACAGTTCATGTGTTAGAGTAGTTTTACTTAACAGAAATAGGCCTAATTTTAAAGCACGTGTGTATGTTTCACTTTACAAAACTAGGCCTAAGCTTGTAAAACGTGAATATTAAATGTTACAATGGTTTGCTATCTATACTTATAAAAGTAAAATGTTTCTTTGATTTATTTGTCAGTTTGTCCACGAACTACTCCATGGTCTTTGGACCAATATCAATCAAACTTGATAGGATGATACATTAGGCCAAGAGGCGTGTCATAGGGCAGTATTACTTGGCCTCACCCACCACTGGGCCATGCCAGCCAAATTTGTTTGTTTAACTAATGACTCCACAGTCTTGAGCCAATTGTTTTTCTAAAAGTTTTCATTTTGAGTTTTATCTTGTAAAAATGTGAGCTTTTTTCGTTAAAAAATCTTAAACATTCAATTTTTGCCATGAAAAATGGCAGCCAAAGCACAAAGGCAGACTCTTAAAGTGGCAAGACTACATCTGAAAAACCCTTGCTTTTTACGTGGTCACTTCTATGTTGGGTGTTCAAGAGTAGAATCACCAAGAAATCTCTTAACTTTGGCCTAGGATAGAAGAAACACTTCTAATGTGGTCTATCAAGAAGCATTCAGATTATCAACAAACACTGAAGCTGTAGAGAGGGATTAGTAAAGCAAAATATTTTAAAAATTAAAAATAGGATCAATATTTAAAATGCACAATAAAAATGTTATTAAGGCCACTGAACAAATTGAACAGACTCTAGATGCTTCGATAGCTTTACTAGGAAATCAAAATAAAACAACTCTAAAACAATATATATTAATGAAAAATGATAAGAAATTAGATGCAACTAAAAAGTATGTATATGTATATCAAACATAGTTCACAGAGAAAGAACTCACATGCTAAATGTAAGGAAAACAAAAGAAGGAATTAGAAAGAATTAGAGCACCAAACAGTAATCGACAGAAAGATAGGAGAAAGTAAAACATACAAGAAAGAACTGGAAAATCTTACCTGAGGAAATTGTTCTTCGTAAAAAAGAGTATTGGGGTATTGTTGATGGTGGAGTCTTAGTGCATCGATAGCCTGTTTGACATTTTCACTCAGCCACATTGATCGCATCAAAACCTGTTAATAAAGGCTGTATATGTATATATATATATCACAAATTGATCAACTGTATGTACAAAACAAGATTGTATCCACTGTTTCAGATATCTGTGCAAAGCTAGACAAGGGACAACTATCTATGCTAGACGTTCTTTATTCTGAACTGATAGACTAAAAGTAAATATAGAAATATTCACTATGTTATGTTAAAACGATTTTGGAAACTCACCATGTCGTTACAGTCTATGTCACCATGTTCAGTCATGCTCTATCTGACGACGATGCATCTTGACAATAACCCTTCAATACAGTTCTATTGCAGAAAGCTTCATTGTAAGGTTGTCATATTCAAAGCACACCCATTCCTAAATGCTTTCCATAATCCACTGAGTGTACAAGGATGATAGTTTCCAAGCACACGTTTCAACAGTCTGCTTAAACACAACTCCATTGGCACAGCATCCAATGATTTGACGACTAAGCCTTATATATAGAATATCATGAGCACTTGTCATTTTCTAGCTACTTGAGGCATGTGATGGTTTGTTGTGGAAGCACTTTATGTACACATAACTTGTGTCACTTTTCCAATCGGAGATTCTTCATGATTGTATTGTGTACTGTTGCCTGAGGCACGTGAGCAACTTTTGCCACTGATGTTTGGGTTTATGGATTATCACCTGTTACAAGCCGCCACATTTTGCTTATCTTGGTTGGAGTACAACTTATTGCAGGTCTCTTTTTAGATGTTCCTAGTGCACCAAGTTAATCCATATTCTTTTTTTTTCAATGCCATTACGTACAGTGGTTATCTCCGCCTGTAAATTATAAATCCCTGATCTGGATATATCTGTATGATCTGAGTGTGTAATTGCGTCAGAAAGAACTGTTACATACCTTTCCCCAAAACGATCAATTTAAGGTATTTACGCCAAGTAATGTAAAAATGTAATTTTGATATATGCTATTGCGCTGCGACTTTATATGGACTCTGTTTGTCATGTGACTTGCTGACTTGCATATTCAAAAATGTTCAATATAACGTACTCAACCTTCTGTATACATATATATATATTAAAAATATACAAGCGTAAATATTTTGATACCATCATTGAAAAGAAATCGCTTTATAAGAATTGCTCTGTAAGGTTTACAAAACAATGCAATATATGAAAATAATAAGTAGTTTTACTTATTGCTTCTAACGGCATTTCTCGTTTAAAACGAGAGAAAATAAGAGCAGAAATAAGTAAGCAAACATTACTTCTTTCAATCTAAAGTAGACAATGTCAACTTGGAGTCCAATTTTCAGGAATAGTTCATTTGTATATGAAGCTTCCCACCAGCATCATGTACTTACTGTACCTGACCAATCCTGTTTTCAATAGCTTAGTAAAATATATTAGTCTTTGTGAAAAACTTGGTAACAAACACGTGAGTTCTAATTAAAAAATGAAGTATGATTTCCTCATTGTTATACTTGATTCATCAGTTATTAGTACGGCACCAGAGGGCCTTGCTATTATGTTTTGAAGTTCTTCTCAAATACTGACTTCGAGTGCCTTTGTCATTTTGCTGGTGTTCACTTATCAACAGGTTTGAAAGCAATGAACAATAAAATATAACTAATGTTACTTACAAATAATTAATAACGTAGCCCTAGAAATTAAAAATGGTTATACATAGTAATGATATTTCATTAAAACAATAGTTGTATTTATGGCACTACTACATCTGATAGCTATTATTAAAATTGATTAAAACTGGGTTGGATTTTTCCATTTATAATATACCACTTTTTGGTCAGTTGTGAAAGGTATAACCATTAATTTACACTTGTTAGTGTTTATATGCCAGAGTATCTGTTTACATGTTAATGCATCTGTTTATATACTATTGTATCTGTTTACATGTTCTTACATCCATTTACATGTTAGTGTACCTGATTAAATGCTAGTGTATCTATTTATACTTTAATGTATCTGTTTACATGAAAGTGTGTCTGTTTACATGTTAGTATATCTGTTTATATGTTAGTGTATCTATTTACATGCTAGTGTATCTGTTTACATGCTAGTGTATCTGTTTACATGTCAGTGTATCTATTTATATGTTAGTATATCTGTTTACATGCTAGTGTATCTGTTTACATGTCAGTGTATCTGTTTATACACTAACATATCTGTGTATACATTAGTGTTTTTACATGCTAGTCTATTGTTTATGTATTAGTGTCTCTGTGTACCTGTTAATGGGTCTGTTTATACGCTAGCATATCTGTTTATACATTAGTGTTTTTTACATGCTAGTCTACTGTTTATACATTAGTGTTTTTTACATAATGATAAAACAATAGTGTTGTTTAATAAGTGTGAATGTGTGGAGCATGTAGAAAAACCAACAAATAAGTGAACAGTGTCTGTCATTCAGGAAGTGTAACAATTTGATGCTGTATTTACATCAAGGATTATCCTAAATAAAATGTTTTATCATTCTTTGTATTCCTAAAAAAATCTTTGTTTTAACTGATAATTCCTTTCACTAGAAGTAAAACTTTGAAAAATATGTGATTATCTGAAACGTAAATGTAAACAGTTTGTACAAATAGTGTACCCTTCTAAGGCTGTATTAATGAAAGGTTATCCATAGACGACTAGCACACTTAATAAATGACTGGTATATAGTCTTAAATAGACATTTAAGACTTCACAGCTGATTGGTACAGAGTCTGGCATAGACAACTAGCACTTGAGAAGTGACTCGTATAGTGTCTTAAATAGACAATTAGTACTTCAAACTGACTGGGATATGTATTTTTGTAAAGCAATGGAGAGCATTATCACAGTAACCATCAAAAAGTCTTGTTAAACAAGAGTTATATAACTGCAGGTTTAAAGGGAAAAAAACCCTACTATTCTAAAAACAAATAGTTACCATTTTTCATGAGCACTATAAACCAACAACTAATAAATAAAGAGCTGCTTACTGTAAACTTCCAATCAGAACTGTAAACCAACAACTAATAAATAAAGAGCTGCTTACTGTAAACTTCCTGTCAGAACTGTGAACCAACAACTAATAAATAAAGAGCTGCTTACTGTAAACTTCCTGTCAGAACTGTAAACCAACAACTAATAAATAAAGAGCTGCTTACTGTATACTTCCTGTCAGAACTGTGAACCAACAACTTGTAAATAAAGAGCTGCTTACTGTATACTTCCTGTCAGAACTGTAAACCAACAACTAATAAATAAAGAGCTGCTTACTGTATACTTCCTGTCAGAACTGTAAACCAATGACTAATAAATAAAGAGCTGCTTACTGTAAACTTCCTGTTAGCACAATAAACTAACGACTAGTAAATAAATGGGTACATAGTGATAACTTCCTGTTAGCACTATAAACTAACAACTAGTAAATAAAGGACTTCTTAGTGGGAATTTCCTGTAACGTGTCTTCTACTTTATCATAAATAATGTGAACATCTATGGTTAAGAAAGTAAGAAACCGAATGTAACTAACCTGAGCCACAGCTGTAATTATACGTGATCCACCAGCACCACCTATAACAGCTTTCAGATCACCATCTTTATCTAAAATAACCGATGGACTCATAGAGGACAAAGGTCGTTTACCAGGTTCAATGAAATTGGATGGGGAAGGAAGGAGACCAAAGGAATTTATTATGTTTGGTGAAGAAAAGTCATCCATCTCATTGTTTAGAATGATTCCTGTTGATGAAGATCTTCTTTTGGAACCAAACCTGAGATATATAGACTGATTAGTTGGACGAAAATAATTTGCAAAATATGTTATAAAAATGTTTTCTAGAAGGTTTTGGAACCTAGCAATAGTTTCCATTCTGATCATTACATTACTGTCCGAATTAAACAAGATTTGCCCTAATTCTTACAACATACAACACAGATATACCCAGATCGACAATATACAACATGGACATCATCAGGCCGACAACACAGAACACGAACATTCTCAGGCCTACAACACATAGCACGAACACCCTCAGGCCTACAACATAGAACACGAACATTCTCAGGCCTACAACACATAGCACGACCATCCTCAGGCCTAAAACCAAGACATAAACATTCTCAGGCCTACAACACAATATGAACATCTTCAGGCAGGTAACACAAAACATGAACCTCCTCAGGCCTACAACACATATCATGAATATCTTCAGGCTTACAATACACAGCAAAGGCATCATCAGAACTACAACGTGCAACAAAATCTAGAAGGATTTCCATTTGAAAATGTGACACAAGTACAGTGTACTATTTACAAGATACAAGATGGAGATTGAGTTAGGCTAATAAAAGAGGAATGAACAATGTTCATGGGAGTGAAATAGTGAGTCAACCCAAAGCCAACAGATAAAGCATGACTGGATGTGGTGTCATGAACTATAATGACATGGTGAGGTTCCAAACCATTTTCATGTAACATACTCAACCTCTGTATATATATATATGTGTGTGTCTTCGTGTATTATTAGGTGACATTTCAGCTATAGGCCTACTTGAGATACAAGATGGAGATTGAGTTAGGCTAATAAAAGAGGAATGAACAATGTTCATGGGAGTGAAATAGTGAGTCAACCCAAAGCCAATCACTTTATAATGTGTGAAAAAAGCCTAAGAATAATTTAAAAAGATGGAGATTGAGTTAGGCTAATAAAAGAGGAATGAACAATGTTCATGGGAGTGAAATAGTGAGTCAACCCAAAGCCAATCACTTTATAATGTGTGAAAAAAGCCTAAGAATAATTTAAAACTGAATTATGTTAAAAGGACTAAATGAGACTGAACTTGATTATTTTAGTGTTGTTTCTTAAGAAGTATTTTAAGATAATGTGGCCCACAGACAAATATTTTAGAAATTTATATTACAGCTACAATATATGTATATATCGTATCATACCTTTACACAATGTTGTATACATACACTGCCCCTACAGGATCAGAGATATATTTTTACCTAGTTTTCTGTTTTAAATTTGAAACATTTTCACGAATTGTTATTATTATTATTTTCAGAAATGAAGGGCATGGCAGAATTGTGGTTTTGATTGTTTTTATCTGATATACAGTGTCTTAGCATCATAAAATGATCAGCCTTGCCATACAGGTGGCATTGATAATATCAATCTGCAGTAGCACAAAACTGAACAGAAACAGATCCATCAGTAACTAGTAGCTTCGTTCAAAGGGTTCGTATCCAGTAGAGTTTTGTATATCAAGGGTGTATTGTGGATATTTTGGAGAATACCACTGGTTTTGCAAGTGCTCATATTCATATAATAGGGCGATATAAATAAGATTACATCTTTTACTATGCTGTTGCTGTTGTTTTAGTACAAGGCTACGCAATAAACTATCTGTACTCTGTTTTATGCTGGGAAACGAACCCTGGATTTTAGAATTGTATTCGTAAACCTACAACTGATCCACCAAGGGACATTTTTCACACGTTAAAGATCTAATGTTTCTGTGAATAAGATGAAATTATTTTGGTGTAGCCTATTGCTTAGTATGGATTTATAGTTCATGATTCATTACCACAGAAACACGCTCCGCACTTTGGGGCGATATTATACTATGTGAATAATGGTCAAATCCCACTCATCAGGGCTTACAAGAGTTACCCAAGAGTTGGCGGTGGGTGCTCTCGAATAGCTGAATTCCTTCTAGTCTAACAGTACAAAATTAGGGACAGCTATACACATATAGCCCTTGTACAACTTTACTAAAATTTCTGAAAATAAATTAGTGTAAAGATATGAATTAAATATGTATTAAAACAAACAATTTCACTTTGCGATTCTTTCGTATGCAATTCCTGGGGAATTTGTCATTAGCTAGGAAAGTCAGATGATTCTGTTCTAATGGATATTCAATGCTAAGGTTTCGTTCATTCATCAATTCATGAGGAAGCTGTTCATATGGGTACAAGGAAAGCCATAAGTAGTTAGCTCTGCACTCTGGTGGCAAGCCGCTGATTGGCTGCCTCAGGCGCTAGGGGAGGGGTCGAGACAATGACGTCGTAGTTCCACGGAGTGGCGCCAGAGGGTGTGTTGCTAGGGCATGGGTGACGTCATAGTTCCCGTTTGTCTCAAGTTCTTACTAAGGTAGTGTTTTTATAGGCAAATGGTGTTACTAGAGTCAGTGTTACTATAGGTGGATAGTTCAGTAGGATGATGAGCTTGTCGTAAGGTATCTCGACGTGTCTAAACATATGATTACATCATCAACTTTTTGGCTTTCTCTTCTATAATATTTTATTTCAATAAAATATTTTTACAATATCTGTTCCAGAAATATTTTAATCCCAATTACTATTTCGCTTTATAAATGAAACTCACATTAAATCCACTATTTCATTAGTTTTTATCCTTTTTCACTTCACTATTTTAACTTAGTGGCATAGCATAAGTTTTTACAATTATCTGTCCTGAAAAGGACGGATTTTTTATGTTAACATAATTATTTAAATTTCTAAGTATTTATTACATGTATAAATTTAACACATAAAAAAAAACAATAAGATTGTAATTATATATACACATAGTAATATATATATACACTAGTTATAATGTTTGGCTTTATGGATTAAAGATATTGTTATGCTAATCCTCTATGTATGTAGTTTTCATTAGTAATCTCTAATTTTAACAAATGGTTAATAATCTCAGTAGTAAATCATTTTGCTACAACTAAATATGATAAATGAACGACGTGCTGTTTTAACCAATCACTACTATTTTAGAAACTACTTAAAACTAGCTGGACGACCCATCCTCTGGACGGAAGTTATATAAATTCATGATTAATGAAAGACATGAAAAACTACCTCCCTTTCATGTAATTGTAAAAAATACCAAAACGCCCACAAAAACTGCAAAACACAGAATGTGAAACCATGTATCTCCACGTGGACCCAACAAACCTTCATGTCAACAGGAAGTAAAGTAATGGTAAAAAAAACAACAACGCAAAACTGAAAACTTGGTGTGTCTTCCCTATGGACCGGCCAGGTGGTAAGGGCACTCGACTCGTAATCTGGGGGTCGCGGGTTCGAATCCCCGTCACACCAAAACATGCTCGCCCTTTCAGCCGTGGGGGCGTTATAATGTTACGGTCAATCCCACTATTCATTGGTAAAAGAGTAGCCCAAGAGTTGGCGGTGGGTGGTGATGACTAGCTGCCTTCCCTCTTGTCTTACACTGCTAAATTAGGGTCGGCTAGCGCAGATAACCCTCGTGTAGCTTTGCGCGAAATTCCAAAACAAACAAACAATCACTTAACACTAACGTGTTTCACCAAAGCCTAATATACTAGCATCAATATATGTAAGTAGAATCACAGATTTGGTAAGTACTGAAACATTTATCAACAACACTTGAAGCTAGAAAGAAGCGAACTTATCTAAGATTTATCAAAATAATATATCCTACCCTGGAAGAGTAAACAGAAATTTTGTAAATAGTTGATCTTACAAATAAAAATGTTTGTGAAAAAATATCTCAGTTTTTTTTTTTTGCTTTTATTATTTACTACTATAATATATATATATATTTAATAAATCAATCTCGTTTACTTTACAACCAAAATAAGTTGTATGTTCGCTATACTTTAATTAGTGAAGAACTGATTTTGTATGTCACTGGACTTAACAGTCTGTAAAAACGAATTTATCTATGCTTTCACTTTAAATAATGATACAGAAACATAAATATTTACAAAGTTCAAGTAGGTGTGATTACCGTTTTAATCTATATTAATGAT